CTACAGAAAACTCCTCTCTTAACTTTCAATTTAACTCGTAACTCTTCTACATGTATTTTTAAAAAATTCAGTTTCACTCTTGCCTTCAATCCTTGATACTAAAACTAACAATTGATTGGAGATGAATTCTTTTAACTCTGTATCTCCGGCAAGCCGCTCCCAGCGGCTTGTGGGACGGAACCGCTATGCCGGAGAGCTGCTGGCAGCTGCTCAGGCATTCCTTTATGACCACTTCGACATCAAATTACTTTTCGGCAATTTCCGAAAACAGGTCTCTTTTACAGGGAGATCATTTATTAGATGAAGAACTATCAAAATCAGTTGATTTGTTTTGATTTAGTGACCCATTTAGTGATGTTTTTGTCTTTTTTAGATTTCTAAAGTATCAAAAAAGAGGCCCGGCGTAGTGGATTTCTTTATCTCCCTCCCACGGAGTTGAGTGACGCACAATTTTACCTGTCATTATTCGGGAAAGGCAAGTGCAAATTTTACTCTACTGAAAGACTACAATATTCATTTTGCCTTTTCGTAAGCTGGCGTACATATAATATGTGAATACCCATAAGGCATTGGACATCATGGATTATATAATCACCCCTCTCACATCAAATTACCAGAGGTGGTCAAAAAAGTGGTCAAAATAGAAGGCCTACTGCCACATCGTAGCAAACCCAAACCAAAGTATCAAGCACTCCGACAAAAATAGTAAATAATTTAGAAGCACTTGCACAAAGATCACACTTGCATCATGAGACCTTTTCAATCACGAACCTGCGGAGGTGGAAACTTTTACAATGACAGAATTTCCTAAAGATCCCAGGACTGATACTTAAGTGAAGAAATCAGTTTTTTAGACGAAAAAAAGTAAAAAAAGATTCTATCTAATCTAGATTCTAAATCTAGATCTAGATCTAGATCTAGATTTAGTTGTGTGTTAGGACGAAAACACACTGACCAGTAACTAAGTTAATTCATAACCTCCCATCCCTAAGAGTGGCAAGGACTTCCTCCTTCTCAAAACTTTTTCAAAACGGACCGTTTTCAAAAACTTTTGAGCACATAGGTATAGATTCTAGATCTAGATCTAGATCTATGGAAATATTTACCTTAAAGAAGCAAAACTGAAGATACTGGTAAGGAGTACGCTTCTCAAATGCCTTTTCCAACCTCTCTGTTACTCTTGGCCTCACTGCTAACGAATCATCTCGACAACGTCTGAAGCAATCAGCTGACTCCAGAAACTTGGAAAAGTCTGCAAATCTTGTAAAACTTGATATGCTCGATAACTTTGAAGTTTTGGAACCGTTCGCACAACCTAATCTACAGTCTGTCAATGTTTTTTTGTACGTTCTATAATCTTTTATTGCGCTTTCTATTCTAGTCGCACACGAATACCACAACCCGTCGTCGTAAGCCTTTACCCCTTCCATGTAAAGTTTATCAAAAGAAAGTTGTGTTTCATCTTTTGACGATGCCAAGTGCTCCGGTTTCTTAGGCTCACTTTCTTCTGCATCGGTGCTAACATAAAGGTCTGAATCATATGAAACTTTCAGCTCTGAGGCTTCAACTGCATCATGTGTCGACACATCAGAATCAGAGTTTGACGTTGGCACAGCTGATGTAGAATCTGAAGAATCTGTAGCGATCACTTGATGATGTGCGAGTAATCCAAAGCACAAAAACACAAACAACAACTTTTGAAATGAAAATGATTTTGTTTGTAATAGGAATGAGCTAGTCACCGAAATCTTAACGGAATACCCTCTTGCATCCATTTTCCACGTTTCAAGAAACTTCTCCGCTCCCAACCTGTTCGTTCAGTGGTGTACGTGCGAAACAGTAACACTCAATCTAGTTCATGCCCTCGCTTCCAGCTCGTTCGTTCGTTTCGAGCGCTTCTGTTGTTGATAGTTCCTGCTGTTTCCCCCTGTGTCTCGGCGATAATTATCGTATTCGACAACCTTCATGGGTATCGAATCTGTATCTAAATGTATCGATATGAGTACGCTCCGCCCATGTCTTTCTGACCAGAAGAAGAAGAAGAAGAAGAAGAAGAAGAAGAAGAAGAAGAAGAAGAAGAAG